ACCTGGGACATCCGCCATGACCACATCAGCCATGATCACGTGGATGTCCCGGGGCTCTACCTTCTTAATGGAGTTTAGATAGCACTCTCTCGAGCCTCTCTGGTCGCCTCTTACCGTTGCCACCCCATTTTCTGTTGGAAATTTCTTGCATAGGTGGTGGATGGAGATGACTGCTCCCAACTCCTTTAGGGCCGGTCTGCCCAAGACTCCGTGGTAAGCCGACTGGCTGTCAACTACGAGGAACTCCATGAAGTTCATTGTAGTTTGAGGAGATTCTCCCATCTCCACTGCCAGTGTTATCTTTCCCCTCGGAGTGATGCTATCTCCGATAAATTCGTACAACGGAGTGGTGGTAGGCGTCAACTAATGGTCCAATATCATCTTGTCAAAGGCGGACCCGAATAGGATGTTGACGGAGCTGCCGTTGTCGACTAACATTTGTTTGAGCCCATTTCGGGCTATGACAGCCCTCACCACCAGCGTATCGCAGTGGGGTAATGAACTCCGTCGGCGTCTTCTTGAATGAAGATAATGGGTGGTACTTGGTTTCTTCGAGAGCTACTGTCCACAATGTAACCCATCAGAGGGGGGTGCTTAGCCTCCCTAGCATAATTTCTTTTGGTGTTTCATGTTTCACCGCCAACATAAGGGCCTCCAAATATGGTATCTATCTCGTGGATAGGGGCCTCATCTTGAGCTGGCCTATTTCTTTGGTGTCTACGCCCTTCCCTGGGCCTCTCTGTGTCTTGCTCTCTTCGCCTTGGGGATACATCCCTTTGACGAGGAGCGGCCGCCTCACGCCCATGTCGGTTGTCGTGCCTGGGCGGGGTCCTGTTCGCCTGGGGCGAGTTATGTCTTTCTCTGGCGGGTTCCTGCCGGGAGCGGTGTGCATAGTCTCTACAATCCGCGGTGTCGTGCCCGTAGGACCTGTGGTGCAAACAGTATTCTGGGAGGTTTGGATTGGACCTATTTCTAGGTGCAAAACCTCGGCCTCGGCCTCTCCCTCTACGGGGTCCCTGTTGGGCCTCCATCTGATGTAGGTCAGCAGTTGGGTTGACATCCTCATATGCTAAGGTAGGAACCGCGTTCAGAGTTGTGGTGGCCAGAGCTTGGTCGGAGTTCTCATTTTCGGCTCGGTTCATCTGGTAGTCCATGAGGTGGGATGTCGGACCCCTTCCTCGCTGTCTTTGAGGAGGTGGGAGGCCTCTCCTTGCCCTGTTCCTATGCTCAATCAATTCTTCATTGATTATCTCCCTTCTCATCATCTCTAGTAGGATGTCATAGGTGGTCGGGTCTTGATTCTGCACATCCCTCCAGAATAGGGTGTTCATGTTCAAATCTCCTCTCAATGCAGATAGTGCTTCTCTGTCGGTGACTTGTACGCAGTAGGTCATCTCGTCGGTGAAGCGGGATAGGAAGCTTTTTAGGGACTCGCCATGTGCTTGTCTCATGTCTTGGAGACGCTGGATGGGGGCCTCTCCTTCCTTGCTCACTGCGAACATCTTCAAGAAGGTAGTCTTGAACTCGGGCCAGCTTCGGATGCTCCCAGGTGGTAGCCTACTATACCAGATTTCAGCCGCTCCACTGAGGGTTAAATGGAATGCTCTGCACTTCACGGCTGGGGTGGCGCCCCTCAAGCTCATGTGAGTTTTGTAAGCATTGAGGTGCTTTTTTGGGTCACCTCTCCCATCATATTTTGGTATTTTTGGCATGACATAGTAGCTCGGGACCTGGGCATTTCTTAGTTCTCTTCAGAATGGCAGGTTCTCATCATCATCGTCCAAGTCATAGGACCTCTGCTGCTCATCAGAATCGTAGTCTTCGGCCTCATACCTCGATTGTTGGTGAGAGGGTCCGGGCCGGTTCCTAGCCTCTTCCTCCCTCCTTTGCGGCCTACTTCTAGGCGGGACAGCGCGGGGGGCATTTTCATGCCTTCTCTCCGGCTGCTGGGGCATCGGAGGTGGAGGCTGTGGCCTCGTCCGAGGCTACTGAGCGTGCTGTTGACTGGGCTTCGGTTCGGCGGGGCTGATTCTGTCAAAAACACTCCTGCTCTCCTATGTCTTGGGTCTTGCTCATATGGAGGTGAAAAGTTATCATGGCTCATTTAGACCTCGGTGGGTCGGCCAGATGCATAGTTGGAGGAAATGTCGACTCCCACTTCCCTCTCGAATGGGCTTTCACCTCGGCCATAGTCTGGCGAAGCAGCCCTATGACTCTGGACCTCGTCCTCTTGCTGATAGTGCCCGTGGGGGGCATATGGAGGAATGGGGAAGCCTCCCTGGCCTTGCATTTGGGCCATGAGCTCCCTCATGGCCAAGTTTTGGTTGGCTATATCCCTCATGTTGGCTGCCATGGTAGCCATTTCTCTTGATAGTCGTGCTGTTGCACGCATCCCACCTCTCCTTTGGTGGTGGTGGAGCCTCGGCAGAGCTGCTGGGGCAGTAGGCTGGGGAGGCACATTCGTGCTTTCTCTTATCCTCCTTGGGGGAGTATCTTCGTTAGAACTCATTTTTCTTTTATCAAACTTAGATTTCTCCAAGTGATAGGGGTTCCTCCTGTTCTTTTTCAAGAGCAAATCCTTTTTCAAGGGGGGTTACCCAAATGTTTTTCAGTAAGCTTCTACCACAAGGTTGCTCGTGGTTATGGTATGATTTTTCACAGACGGCGCCAATCTGTTGACCCCAAAAAGTGCGCCAACAGATGCCGGTCCCACCCGCGTTTACGTGGGCGAATGTCCAACACGCTAAGACACGTGGACGGTCTAAAATTAGCGGTTCAAAGGGGCGTGGGAGTAGCCCAACGACGCGGGACGGTGACGTTCGAAATTCGACGGGTTGTTCGTAATCCGATTGTACAATAATTACCAACCGGTGCTCGTAAATGTATATGTAAAAGTGTATAAACTCGATTTGTGTATTGCAAGTAAAATGAGAGAGAGCTGAGTAAATGTAGTCTTTAGTATTGATTCTTGCATTAGCCTTTGACATTACAAAATGGAAGTATTTATAGTGATACATATGAAATGGGAGCCCTTGGATGAAGTGGCACGTGAACTCATCTCTTTAGTTCAAACGTCTTTTTTTAGGTATGGGACTTGACTTGCTAGCTTACGGCGCATTTATTGCTTGCGCAGGTCCTCCATACTAGTGACAAGACTTGATCTTTATACTTGTGCCAAACGTTCCATCAATCATTCGAATAAGATCTTTAAGCAGGCGATCTCTTGGGAGAAGTGACTGTGGAGGTAGTTCCTTGTGGTTAAGAGGCTCGTGCATCAGCTTCGGGGTTTCGACCATTTGACAAATATTTCCACTTGAGGACCTCAGTTACATTCAACAGGTTCCATGCTTCGGGTCATGGGCCTCGGTAGTTGGACTTCAGCAGACTCGCGTACATCGGATCGAGGAGCCTCAGCGGATGGATCTCGGCTTGAAGCACTTCGGAAATAACCCACCTCGGCAATGTGTGCCACCTCGGCAGGAATGCCACGTGGATGAGGATGAGTGGGCCATTGGCCCAGGTGGGTAGGACAGGTGTGACAACACGCAACACTATTGCTATTGGTTTATGGAGTGAAAGTAGAGTTCCGCAGAACATGTTAGCTTCAATGAGTCGTTTTGGTTGAGATTCTTGCTATAATAACTTTTAACTTGAAGGGAATCTCCATATCCTTCTTGTTCAGATAATTACATGCACTCACTCTTTGGTTTTCCCATGGTTTTAGCTTCAAGTATTTTCCCCATTTTGATTCCACTGTCAGCTTTCGACCTGGTCTATATTGGTCTCACTTTTGCTGACCTCCGGTCAAAATTAAAGTGTTCTTAAACGAACCAAGACACAGATGTGACGAAATATTCACACTGATTTTTACAGATTTAAATAGAGTTGTATAGGGAAATAATAACAGCCAGACAAGGATAAATTTAGTGCCGTATTGTGGGAGTAATATCTGTAATGAATCTTTACACAAGGAAAGTTAGGCTGGAGAAAATTAACTAGCCGTTGGCCGAGTTGGAGAGGAGATGATTGTGTGCGCCTTGTTAGTCTCCAGTAAATCACATCATATTTAAGTACATTCAAATTCATGGAAGATTGTACAAATTATAAGAGTATATCTTTAATTCTAAACAAGCTTAAACTTGTTATGAAAAGAGTTAAAACACTTGTAACACATCTCGGTCTTGATACGGTTCACAAATCAACTAGACATTCGAAAACATTAAGAATGACGCTATATATAAATTCAAAACACAATCATAATTGAAATTTGACGATAAAAAATAGGCCATACTATTCGTCCCGACAAAAAAAAATAGTTAATCATCATTGTTTCACAAGTATACATGAGAAATATTAAGCATGTCATCGGGATTAGAAATACAAAAGAGGAAATCGACAATTAATGATGGAATCCGTGCCAACTTCAACTTGCAAGAGCCATTAGAAATAGATTTATTAATTCGATTTTTAATCTTTTAATTTTCATCTTGATGTCACCTCTTTCGACTTAATTTCAAACTATCTTCTTCATTTATTAGGTAGTTTTGACTTGATTTTCTGTTTTCAATGTCAATTTAATTAAATTTCTATTTCACATCAATTTCTCGCCTTGTTGAAATGATTAACTAATTTCACACCAACGCTATTCTTTAGTCAGCAAAAGTTGCACTCTGAACGGTCTAATTACAGTGTTACTACGAAGTAATGTTTTAAAATTAACCGGATATATGATTAACTGGTTGAGGGAATGCATCTAATATGATCTATTAATTTAATCATTCTTGTGGAATGCAGCATTATTATTTCTTAGGGAGAATGAGTAGAGAGATTAGAGGTGTAAATTAAATCAAACATCCACTCCTTTTGTGCAGAGACATTCACCCGAATTAGCCCACTCTCAGTTAAACAAGTGTCCCAAGATAGAGGAATAAATTGAACCAAGAGACGACCAGCTAAAAAAGGAAGCAAAACGCTCTCCCAATTAGTGATAACAACGGTCATCTTGTAATACCTACTGTATTAGACGAGTCAAAACTGTTGTTTTCATGTAGAAATGCAATTTAAATTGAGAACAAGAAGCTTTGGCTCAATCTACGAGTATTTAACTACTAACCAACACTCCAAATTCAAATAAAAGGATTTAAATAAGAAATTAAGCATCAATTACATCTTCCGTAATCCTCTCATCACCAAACAGGAGTTCTAGGGATGGCACGACTTTTGGAAGAACAGGCAAATCTGCTAAGTTAACACTCATATTATCGAAAGCAATGCACATATTATGCATCTGAATTTTTCCATCACATTTGGGAATTTTTGGGTATCGTTGGCTGAAGTGAGTGAGGATTAAGCGATACACTCCACTTGAGTTGCCTGCTTCCACAGCTTCTTTTATAGTGCTGTGCTTTTTTTCTTCAGCCTCCTTCGACAGACTATCTTCAAATGTAGCCTGCACCAGAAGCCAAAGACTCCTGAGTTTATCTCAAATCAAATATTTTAAGATCGTAAATCTACAAATCCAAATCCTGGACACTCAACAATACCATAATTATATCTTCCGATTTACCTCGTGTATAAGAACTGTTGCTCCACATGAAGCATGTTTTAGTTCGGTACAGGGCCTCGTATCACCAGAATACACAAGTTTCCACCCAGGTATCGTTTTTCCAACTCTATTGATCCTATTTGCAGCCTTCAATACGACACCAAATGCCGGTTCACAGTGTTCAACAGGAACACTTATTAATGTTTCTAATCCAGCTTCCACAAGAACCTTCTTCAAGGACTTGAGGATTGGAACGGCATCAGCATACTGGACAGGAATTCTTTGCCTCTTCGAGCAGCTTTGCATACGACCTCTTCCATCAGACATCATAAAATCACTATGTTGTCCCTCTAGTGAATTTGTATATCCATCCTCATTTGAATTAAAAGCCTTGAGTGAAGCTTCTTTCGTATACTCACAATCAAGAAACAGCATATCTAGATCCTCTAGTCTCTGGTATGCATCAAGATATCCCTTAAGCTGCACAGGGCCAATAACAATCAGAGGGTCATGAGGTATTCCCTTCAACAAATTCGTTCGAAGAGCAAGTATCCTAGCTAGACCTGTATGGTGATCTGCATGAATATGGGAAATCCAAATACATCGTAAACATCTTACTGCTTCATCAGCACCTTCAATGCCAAACCTATTGCCAGAAATTCCAAAAGATAATACGCATCAATAAAAACAGTATATAAAAATGAGAAAAAAACAAGCCACAAATGGAAGAAAGTGCACGTGAGAACTTTAGACAGCTTTACCTTCTTTTTAGTTGTCCCAGCGTTCCTTCACCACAATCTAAAAGTAAACTTCCTTTCGAGAAAAGATTGATGAAAATGGAACTAACATTTCGATACTTTGAAGGCTGAGATGAACCAGTCCCGAGAAAAACGATCTCCAAATCATCTCTAGATACATCTTCCAGACAGCCTGGAAGTGCACTATCATGCAACGATAGCTCTTCAGTCATAACTCCATTAGCTTGCACAAATATCTTCTCTCCATTTCCTAACCACAACTGGTTTAAGTTTTGAGACTCATCTAGAATCTTAGGAATATCTGATAGTAATTCATCAATGATTGTTGAGGGAGACGTCAACTTTGGTATACCAGATTTGTCAAGTCCCAGATTTGTGTAGGGACGCAAATGGAACTGTTCCACACATAAAATCATGCATTACTAGCCGCGTGAAAGAAATACCAGAGACATTTACAGCATTTTTGAAGCTACTAACAAACTAACATCATAAACACATCATATGTAATAACCATACAAATTAATAGTAGCATACTTACAAGATCTACTAACTATTAAGTTTCCACTATCCACGCACTTCTATAAACAAAGATTTCATATCTATAACTTTCAATAGTTCTGAGTCGAGTTTATATAGCAATCATCAAGATTAAACAATTAAAGGAGCTAGCATTTCAATATACCTACACTAATACCTGCTTTTTTTCAGAAATTTATAAACTATTTTAAACATTTGTCTTTACATTTTATCAGTCATTTATATCAATTGGATAATTTCAATTATAATTCTTGGAAACTAATTGATTTAGTTGACAATTCAGACACTGAGAAGATTCTTTGCTGGATTGGTTTCATTGATTCTTGATGTGAGATCCTGAGGGGAAGAAACCAATATCGATATAATTTACAAGTACATTATTTCCACAATCATTTAAATCGAACACAAAATCTAAAAATCTAGAATATACCTCATTTGATGCCTTCAAGCCAGAAGGCATGCATTTAAGAGACCAGAAACCAAGAGCTGAAAACAATTGACAACACGAGTTGTTAAGTCGTGTAGCAATTCTTGCACTTGCTTTTAAAATAAGCACTTCAATATCCTTCCTGTAGTATATGAGACTCGTCGGCCCGAATTATTCAAGAAGGAATGAGCAATCAAGAAATATTATGAAAATGATGACAAGAATCTGTTAAAGAAACGAACATTTCATTCCCTGCCATGATATGCTGAGCTGCACCAAATTTTGACATCAATATTTGATAATCAGACGTGTTTGTGATGTGCGTAGGTTATACAATTCACATTTTTCGAAATTTTTGGTACATTTTCAACTGTATCAACATAATAACGAAAGACTTTGTACAGACAGTAACTCTTGTAGCTGCAACAGCGTAGATCAATCCATTATCAATACTAAAGGGGCAGGAACAGAAGGGCCAAGTACATCCATTGGGTGAACCTGAACATTACAAGTGAATCAATGCAAAAATAAGAAAACTTGAAAAGGCTAACACTGTTAAGTCAAACTTTAAAAGGTGTTACAATAGATCATTCTTTGACCCAGGTTTCAATCCAAGAGAATTAGCTTTTTTTGGGGTCAAATTTTGTCTTTAGTCCTTGCAATTCACAAATATAAATCATAGAAAGATTTGCAGACTTTGTCTCATTCAAAGCATTATCTAAACGACTTGGTGAAGGACTATTGTGAATATCTTGACAACACCGTCATCAAGAACATGAGGTTCATCAAATTTTGAGATTGGAAAATAACATCTCCATTAGAAATGACCAAAGGGATAGATAGCAGACACGTGAGAGAAGTATACGTTCAATCTGAAGTACATTTATTGAGAAAACAATTAAAATGTCCACGTAAGCAAGAAAAATTGAGTAGAAAGTGGTGCTTGCAGGTATGACACATTCGACAGTTTGAAACCCCTAAAATAAGTATTATATCGTTAAAAATAACTCAAAAAGAGCCAAACATCATTCCTTTAAAACTATGCTAAACTAGTATTAAAAAGTGATTCCAAATCAAATAAATAAAGATTTTTACCCAACTTTGATTGCCTAAAATTACTCCACCAAGAAAACATGCCACATAACTAATAAGCTCCAGCACAATTACAGTCAATGATGTAGAAAGAAAGATGGGAATTAATTTTGATAAATGAGCTACCTCTCAATCTATTTTCCTTTCTGTGCGATCATAAGTAAAGTACATTCCTTAAAACATGTCTTGTAATTGTATAAACTTCGCAAAACAAAATTTTAAAGCTAGCATTTTTCGTTTCCTTTTTCCATAGACTTTTTTTATTTCATTTTTTCGGGTGTAGGTCGTTCAAGATGTCTTCTTCATATAATGATCATTTGTCTTGCCAACATCCTCTTCTCCATAGCCAATTGCATCCATGTTGTCAACATTTCACTAGTTAATAAATTGTATATTTCATTTATGATATTGATAATAGCAAATGTTAATTCTCCTCTAAACGTCAAATGACTTGCAGCTTCTATATAGATTCTCGCAAGTGATGTATCGAAAATTTAAAAAACAAGAAATTTCACATGTGGCCTACAAAATAAAGAGCTAAAATGAGTAATACTTACTTCCCCAACATTAAATATAAATCTCTGCTTGTCAAAAAACAATAGCACCGATAGTGATGTGTCCTGAGTATCCATACCATTCCCAAAAATCTGCAAGATAAATATAAAATATCAGTTAATATATAAAAGATTAAGGATTGCTCTTCAGCATTTAATTGTGAGGAAACAAGAGAAAAATTCCCTAGAGATTAGCCTTTTGCTATTGAATTATTTACTTATATTATGTTTTAGTTGAGCTTATATTATTGGGTTTGGCCCAAGCCCCCTTAGCTTTAGGTCTTTTCTATATGTATTCTGCGTAATGAAGCTTGCAAACTGGACGATGAATTGAGAAAATTAAATGATATGCTCCTCCCCAAATCTCTTCTCCTTTGGTATTCTCCCCCATTCTCTCATGTTTGCTACCTATTTCTTCTTCTCCGTCTTTCCCTGCAAATTCTTGCTTTCTACTACTATTGCTACACCACCTGCATCACTTGAGGCCATTTTTAAAGCTTACATCTCAATTACTCTGGCTTACACCTCCAGGCTAAGCCTCAAGACGATTGAGATGTGCCCACGCTTGTCTCTAAATTTTGACTGATAGCTTAGAATGTTTTAAGAGAGATTTTATTTTCTTTATTGTTTCATTTTTATGTGCTTGCACAACTCTTAACATCAATCAAACGTGTAGGTACCCAATTAAGTATTTTTAAACAATTATAAACTCATCTCTTTCTTGAGATGTAACCACCATTTCCCTTTAAAACAAAACCACTCTAAGGGTTGGTTGCCCAGTTTCAAAATCATCAATCCCACTCACCAAACATGAAAAAGTTAGAGAATGAAGTTACTTAATTACCCGCATAAAGCTCATTCATACATTGAACAGCATTACAAAGAACAAGGTTGTGACAAAAACTAATGCTTTTGAAATTTTCTTCTATCATTTACCAGAGTACAATAGCCATAGAAGGGGCAAATGCCATATAAGCGAAACCACTATCAACTAAGTGTTTTAACTCCAAAAAATCCAATTAACCAAGTACAGAAAAAGTTAAAAAAATAAGACCTCTCGTTCACACACATGCTAAGAATTACAAAAAGAAAAAAGAAACATTAGCACATTGAACCTAATTTAGCATTCAATTAAAATAGTCGACATTCAATTCAAACTGAACAGAAAAATTACCAAAAAAGAACCATTTTTGAAACTATTTCTACCTGAACATAGGAAACGGTATTCACAGGATCAAGTTTGTTAACTCCAAGCTTCTTGTTGGGCCTATGATTGCCATCTCCTCCCCTGGACCTTTTTTTGTTAAAACGAACAGACTCGCTAGAATGACTAATACTACTAGTTATTTTATCCATTGCCAGGAAACCACTTTTGTTGGCACAAGTTTTTTAAAAGATCCTTTAGCGTAGGAGCAAATCCACCTGGGGGAAATTTTGGTCCTGAATTGAAAAAAAAATCACAGTTGCTAGAGGAAGATTGCCATCAAGAAACAACTATTCTAGAAAAATAAAATAAATTACAAGGAAATGAGTTCAAATTAAATCATCACAACAAACAAATCAAGTTGATTTCAACATATAAATCCTGTTTTAACACTACTAAAATCGGAAACTACCTTCCAAGTTTGGAGATGAAGTTGGTCACTTGGATATAAATCACTGCAACACAAGAAAAATTGGTGCAGAGGGGGTGTTGAATGTGTTCCCGATTTTAGTTTAATACAGAGAAAGAAAATTGTTGGCACAAGTTTTTTAAAAGATCCTTTAGCGTAGGAGCAAATCCACCTGGGGGAAATTTTGGTCCTGAATTGAAAAAAAATCACAGTTGCTAGAGGAAGATTGCCATCAAGAAACAACTATTCTAGAAAAATAAAATAAATTACAAGGAAATGAGTTCAAATTAAATCATCACAACAAACAAATCAAGTTGATTTCAACATATAAATCCTGTTTTAACACTACTAAAATCGGAAACTACCTTCCAAGTTTGGAGATGAAGTTGGTCACTTGGATATAAATCACTGCAACACAAGAAAAATTGGTGCAGAGGGGGTGTTGAATGTGTTCCCGATTTTAGTTTAATACAGAGAAAGAAAACCTACGCCGCTCTTCCCCCCCTTACTCTAGGACTATGACTAAATAGAATTTACAAATATACATTGGTTTAATAGGCCTCCTTTAATTGGGCTTTACAAATATTTTTCCTAAAGAAAAATTTCGTATTTTCATTATCATTACAAAAAAGGTATAATGATCTACTATGTTACATTATTAAAATAAAAAATACTATATAACATATGAAATATGTTTACACATGCTTCCCTCTAAAAATAGACCATCCACCACATTTGTAATTGACTTTTTTTTTGAAGTCAGCCTATTTCACGTTCTCTATTAACATCATATTCTAAATTGAATGAGCAATTCAAAAAATTGACAATAGTAAAAAACAATCATAGTTGTCTATCGAATAATTACAGTGCAATTCTATACTACATTTCAAAACTCAACTCAATTAGAACGTTTTTTCAAGATTCAACATCTGAACAATTAAGGTAACGCCCGGCATCATACGTCCTTTTCCAATTAGATTTAACTAGTGCAGTATTTTTTTTTATAATTTGTAATGTGATAATTGCCCTGCCCATCATTACTTGTGCAGTGGAGAAATCGTCTATGTGTCTATGCAATTTGTATTGATTTTATATCTAAAATTTAGTGATAGTACGTAAATCCCGTTTCTTTAAAAATATATTTGATTTTTTATGTGAATGAATATAAAAAGTGAGCGGATATATTTTAGAATTTTTTTTGGATAGTGAATACCACGAATTTGTGTTTGGAAATTTGCATTCTTGTTTCAATATGAGAAGTGAGGTAAAACATGAGATTTGATTGAGAAAAAGAAAAAATTTGTTATGGTGCAATTGTAAATTGAGTAAATTCTGTTAGTCCTTACCACAGCAATTCTGAATTTTTCACAATTAATCAGATGCTGCTAGCTGTTGTGGTCCTGTGGAAAGAGGCAAAAGATTGATTCACCAATCAAGAATTGCTACACAACTGATAACCAAGTCAAGTCCAAATCCCCCTCAACAAAGAGGCGCATTACAAAAAAGCGAGAAAAACCAGGGATTTCCTGTAGTAGTTTAAACTAGTTTTCAGAAACCCCCGGGAATTTTGGTCCTGGGTATCCGTATTTCACCTATTACACTAGAGGAGCAGTCATTTTTCAAGGCATGAAGAAAATCATAAACAACCGCATCATAAATTCAAGAAATATAATGTTGAAAAAATCATCGTTTCTAGAGGAAGATTACCATCAAGAAACAACAATTTCGGGAAAATATATAAATTATAAAGAATTGAGTTGAAATTAAATTATTCACAATTCAAAATATAAAGCCCGTTTTTACACTAATAATATCGGATACTACCTGCCGAATTTGGTGATGAAGAAGTTGAGTAGAAACCACTGAAACACAAGACAAATCGGCGCCAAGGGGTGATGAATGCGTCTCTTCTTCACCCTAAATTTCTCCCAAATTTTAGCGTAATAATACCGAGAAAGAAAACCTTAGCTGCTTTTCTCCCCTTCGCTCCTAAAGGCCGCCTTCTCGTTGGGCTTATTAGGTTTACAACTATATTTTCTGGTTTTAAGTGTTTTGGTTGTTAACGGGAGTTGGACAACACGCCATAGGAAATTTTTGAGAAGTTGGGGGCCGCTTCGCCATTCAATTATGTTCGTCCGCCTAAATTGGAAAAGTTATTTTTCCTATAGTTTAAAAAGAAAATAAGACAACCTAATTATATTTTAGGATTTTACCCTTTGTACACTCGTTGTACACTCCCCTCGCATGAGAAGAGAGACCTACGCCCAATTAATGCAGGGGCGCCACCCCCATGTGAGGGGGAATGTACACTGAGCTATAACATTCGGTATATATGTAACACCCTCCCATGTTTTATTAGGGAAAAAGAAAAAGGAAATTGACTTTACAATTTTATATTAATACTAGTCTTTGCACAGGATGGATTATTTTGAAGGAAATATAAGTATGTTAAATTTGTTGAATACTCGTGAATTACATTCTCAATTCAATATTTGCCATTGCTTCATCAGGATGGAATTTTCTTTATTAAGCATGTAAAGATACTAAGTTATATCAATCCAGATAAAGCAAGCAAATGAAGGATGTCGTGTTTTCACTCTCTGAGCTTAATGTTTACATACCATACATGACACTACCACATTCTCGACGTTAAATGTAAAGTTAACCTTGCAAAGATGATGCTTCTTGTCCTCTCCAGCTATATCATCCAATGCACAATTATATTAACAATTACTTCGTGAAGGTCAAACTCCATCAATTGAATACGATACAGCCTGTGTTCCAGCTTCATCTTCAGCTAGAGTACTATAACTTGTGTAAAAAATTTTGGGACTATGATTGCAATTAATTCTTTATTTTTTCTTTTCTTAACTTTTTTTTTCATTTCAATGGAGGGTAAAATCGTCAAAATGACCTTCTGTGCAAAGAAATGTGCAATGTAGGGGCAAAAAATGTCAAAAAATGAAAGGTATAGATGTTTTCGATAATAAACTTGAAAGATAGGGACGTTTTGTGTCCATTACCCTTTTTATTTTATTTATTTATTTATTTAATTGTGTTTTACTCGTTTTTCGTCTCCTTAGAAGTCAATGACACATTTTTTTAACCTCTTTTTTTTTTTTTAATGGATAAATAACTCAATCTAACTTATAGATCTAAACAAAATTGAAGGTTAGAAATACGTACTATGTCTAGCATATAAACACAGTTAACGTCACGCACAATCAACACAAACAGGCAAATGTCACGGGTACAATGTTGAAAATATTGATGTGTGACATCTAGACTCCATATTAAGACCATTATCATCCAAAAACCTATTGAATTACATAGAATGATAAAATCATTTAACGGATGCAATAACAATTCTCAAATTGGATAACAATTTAATCAAGGAAAGAGAACTAATTAACCCCAAGTATATTGATGTCCTATTTACTCAAAAAGCAAATTTATGAGCCGTTTGGGAGTTATTTTTTACCCAAAAAATTGATTTTTTGACTATTATTTTACAATTTCATCCATAAAATTTGATTTATTCTCTCACAGATAGTCTCCACTTTTTTTCTAACAGTCAAAAAATCAATTCTCAAAATTACTCCCAAACAGGGCCTTAGTATAATAATACATATTGACTAGGAACTCATCCTCTACGCTCTTTCCCGTTATTTTTCCTTTTAACTAGAGAGGAAAGAGAGTACGTGCAAGTTCCTACACATGCGGTTGTATATATGAAATCAAAAATACACTATTATATCATGCAAAGTCGTTCTAATTCATAGTTGACTCTTTGCAAATCATACCATTTTCGTCAAATTTATAACCCATCAACTTCCTTCCGTAAAAGAAAAACTGAAAAGATTGGAAGACATATAAAGAGGCATTTGAAAATTTTCTTCGTTTTTCAATAGAAATATTACGTCATATAATTAAAAAAAATATTGTCTACATACAAATTACCCAACATGACTTTAGATTGATGGAAAAATTGGGTGATTTGTATATAGGTTTATTGTCAATTAACATAATAAAATAATAAATACAATTCAAGAATAATATATCATAAAATAGAGAAGAGCATAAGAAAGCAAGTTTTGGGAGTCACGTTGAAAACGCTGTCCTAAAGTCGTGTTGCCTCCTCTTCGTACGGTTCTTTCGACACTACACGATTTCAAAATAAAACTCATGTGACTCTCCTTCTATAGGCACGATCATAAGGACATAAGTAAACGTGTCTCTCATTGAGTTGTCAAAATAGTATGAGTATAATATAAAATTGTAGAGAGGACAATACTTCAAGTTATTGTACCAAACTATGTAAAACTTAACTGCCACTATAATGAGAATTATCCCAATTAAATTATAAGTTATCATATGAATTACGGTGTTTTAATTTTATGTTAAAACTAAAAATTAATAGGTTTTAATTTTGAAAGGATGAAACTTATTTCAAGTTAATATAACCTCCGACATTTATACCACAAGTTATAATATGCATGTTTTACTGTAATTTTATTAATTTAGCCCCCCTTTGTCCCCCATTTTTAAGATGAAAATGGGTAGAAAAGTATTTTTTTTCTTTTGGAAAAATGAGTGGTTGAAAAAGAAAGAAAAGTTTTTGATTTACGTATAATATTATTTTATGAAAGATTGTGTGGCTGAAAATATGAGAGAGAAAACTGAAATGTAATAGAATGTAATGTAATGAAGGCCAAACGGGGCTTAATTTTGTATTAAATTGAAATTAAAATAGAAACAACAAATTATTAATTTGAAAATTTAAAACTTAAATGATCTATTTTCCAATAAAAAATATATGGATAAGAAGCAATTTGACTTATTATAAATAATTTATAAATTGATGCACTATCTATAATTTATAATTAACGTGGTAATTAGGAACTTATAATGCCCCTGTTTGAATCAAGATGCGTTTTGGAATATTGATTGTTGAAAAATGTCATATTAAAAAATAAGGAAATGATTTGGGTTTGTGTGTAAAATTATTTTATAGAAAATTGTGTGTGGTTGAAAACAAGTTTTAAAAAAATAAGGATGTGTTCTCTTTGCTGTTTTTGGGCCGTTTTCTGTTTTCGATTTTTCAAAACAGTGAAAACGTGTTATCTTTCACGTTTTCGAAAACGAATTTTCGAAAAAAAAAAATTGTGAAGAAAACACAATGGCAAAAAGAACGTATTTTCAGCAATTTCAAAATAGGCACTTAAAACACAAAACCTATGATGCTCGGACTCTCCAAAAATGGTGAAGTATCCGTGTCGATACGACATGACACGAATATTGACACGGGATATGTGTCGGATTCTCGATTTTGAACTTGGACATGGCTGGAAAAGGGAGAAAACAATGGACAGCAGAGTATTGCTTCTGGCTTCCGTTTGAGGCGGCAACAACCGTTTGTTTCGAGTACTTTATAGAAATATGCAAATATTTATGGACGATTGCAGCAACATTTGCAGAAATTTCCTGAAAAGGGAAGAAGAGAGTTGGAGAAGACGACTTGTTGAAAAGGACGATGACCTATTGAAGAAGACGAAAGGATGTGGTTGTGTATTAAATGGGCTTCTACGGAGCCCAATGAAGAAGTTAAAGAAATGAAGGAATTTCAATTTTCAATAACCTGGGCCGTCCTCTGTATTCTTCCAATAAAAAAAAATGAAAGAAGAAATTCATTTTATTATAAGATGAGTCTACTTAGTGTATTATTTTCAATTTTCAATAACTAGTTGTGCCGTCCTCTTTTATTTTATTTTTTATTGTTATTATTATTTTTATTAGATAAGTTGATGCATGTGTACATCTATTTTAATATATCAAAATTCATTTCATATAAGATGGGATTTGTCTTTACATAAAATAAATATACTAATTTCTATATTTGTCTACATAGACACGTGACATATCATTTTCAAATTGACAACCTTAATTGTTCATATTTATCTCCATAACAGATAAAGATATAAATTTTTTAAATCTAAAAAAAAGGAATACAAATAAAATTGAGCGAAACTTAAAAAAAAAAAAAAATATTGACAAGTATTTCACATTCAATTTTAGCATATTAATTCACATACAAGACAAAACCAACGTATTATCATGTCACTTTTTAATTTAAAGTAAATTCTGAATTCATAATCAAATTTTCAAACGCCTTCTATGCATATCTTTAATAGATAATATATGCAAATACGGTATTTTTACATTTTGGTGTATGTAAGTGCATATCCGGTATGTTAGTTGTATATACGGCGTCTAGCAAATATGTGTAAATAACTCACTATATATTAAATGGAATAAAAACAGTTTGTGAAAACTTTGTGCAAATACGGTGAGCTTTCTACAAATACAGTAGGCAGCATATATGATAAGGTGCAAATATGGTAAGTTGCCTGAAAATACGGTAGGCTGCAAATCATTAATGTATTCACAAAGAATTCAAATGAGACAGACTTTTGAAAAGAATCTATTTTGGCTTTACTTTTAAATTGATTTCAAATTATAATCCTATTGTTAATCACGAGTTCATATTTCAACAACGAATATTAGTTAGTTAATTTTATCACAATAATATTATTGGTGAGTAGTTAAATCACCATCTATTTAGAACTTGATCAACTTATCACCTGTACACGATGCTAGTCGATCTTATGATTTTCAACGTATGATCACACAACTTCACATAAAGGTCCTTAACCGTAAATATCCTAAATCATATTGGCTCCAACTCATTTTAATCTTTGAAAGTAAAGTAAAAAATTGATGAGTAGTCAAATTTCCATCCACATATAATTCGATTAGCTTGTCGTCTACGCATGACACTAATCGATCTTATTCTTTTGAGAATACGCTCACACAACTTCACATAAACGTCCTTGATGATAAATATTATAAATCATATTGATCCCAACTCATTTTAATCTTTAAAAGTAAAATAAAAGATTGGTGAATAGTCAAATTTTTATCTATGTACAACTTGATCAACTTGTTGCCTATGCATGATTCTAGTTGATCTTATTCTTTTTAGAGCGTGACCACACAACTTCATGTTAAACGCCCTTAACAATAAAAATACTAAATCATATCGATCCCAACTCACTTAATTTCTAAAAGTAAAGTAAAAAGAATGGTGAGTAATCAAATCTCCATCTACATATAATGGTGAATAGTCAAATCTCCGTCTACATATAACTCAATCAATTTGTCACCTATGCACGACGTTAATCAATCCTATTCGTTTTAGAGTGCGATCACACAACTTTATGTTAAACGTAAAGCCATAAATATACTAGATCATATTGACCACCCGAACTCATTTTTATCTTTAAAAGTAAAGTAAAAGATTGGTGAATCGTCAAATTTTCATCTACGTACTACTCGATCAAATTGTCGCCTATGCACGACTCTAGTCGTTCATATTATTTTTAGAGTGCGATCACAACTTCACATTAAACATCCTTAACCATAAAATCGTAAATATTGATCCCAATTCATTTAATCTTTAAATTAAAATTACTATAACGAGTCCAAGTTAAATCTCGTTAATATAACGTAAATAAAATTAATATAAAGTTATAAAATTAATACCAACTAAAAGAATATCGAATAAAACGAATTGAAAATGTAATACAGATAACCTAACCTTTATTATAGAATATTTAATTACTAACCAACCATTAACAATTAATATTGGGAGAAAAAACATTATGTATAGAATAAATTACTAATCGAAATTAACAATTAAAATTGGGAATACAAAAATCAAGCCGCCAATTAGTTTCCTTTTCCATAATTTGCACCAGACTTCCATATTCTTCACTACTGTATTAACGCTTTGTATTGCAATCTGACATATTAGCTTCATCTTAATATTAATCACGAGTTCATCTTCAACATAATCACGAGTACATCTTCAACATATTTGCACCAGACTTCCAGATTCTTCATATAAATCACGAGTTCATCTTCAACATATTTCTTTAGTCAAGTTCATCTTCCTGTACAAGAACATATTTCTTCAATCAAACATCTAGTCAAAAAAATTCCAGAATCTTGCATATTCCTAATTTCAAATAATGAATCCATCTAACTCTACACTAGAAACACCTCAACGACCATCAAATCTTTGTGCAAATCAATTCGATGATAAGCCACTATGGAACCATGTGAAGGTAGTCACCACGTCAGTAAGCAGAGGCAGAAATCGGACTTGGAGTTGCAACTATTGCAGCAAAAAGGTGATTGAATCTTACACCAAAGTGAAGGCTCATTTACTAAAACTTCCAAATCATGGAGTTGAGTGCTATAAAGTAATAACAGATGACATTCATCAATCAATCAAGAGGGAACACAAAAAAGTCGAGAGGAAAAAATTACAAGATGAGGTCAATGAAAGAAAAAGGACAAAATATATCTCATTACCGAGTGCTTCCGATTTACTGCAGCAGAAAAGGAAAAAAAGAGGAGAACTTGGACCTCTAGAAAAGACCTTCAACATGGCGCAAAGGGACACGGTTGACAAAGAGGCAGCCAGAATGTTCTTCGCTAGTGCATTATCGTTCAACTTTGCAAAATCTCCTTATTTCAGACAGTTTTGTAGAACTTTGGCCAATGGTAACTTGGCTGGTTATATCCCTCCTACTTATAATCGATTGCGTACAACATTGCTTGCACAAGAGAAAGAGCATATCAATAGAAAACTTCAGCCTATTAGAGATTCATGAAGGAAAATGGGAGTGTCTATTGTTTCTGATGGCTGGTCAGATAAACAAAAAAGGCCTCTTATAAATGTAATGGGAGCATCTGCAGGTGGAGCCATGTTTATTAAAGCAATTAATGCAAGTGGCAATATAAAAGATGGAGAATACCTGGCAGCAACGTTTATTGATGCAATCAAGCAAATTGGAAGCTCAAATGTTGTTCAAATTATAACAGACAATGCAAGCAACTATAAATCTGCTGGGTTAAGCATTGAAACAAGGTATCCTCATATCTTTTGGACTCCTTGTGTGGTACATAGTCTAAATTTAGCTTTGAAAAGTATATATGATCCATCTGAAAAATCACCACAATATGCATATTGTAAGTGGATTGTTGATTTGGTGAGTGATGTGGAAAACATTCGTAATTTTATTGTTAATCATGAAATGGCATTAGCTATATATAATAAATATTTTAAGTTGTGTTTGTTGAGGGTGGCTGATACAAGATTTGCATCTGCTATTGTAATGAGTAAACGGTTAAGAGAATTTAGGCCAACCCTTGAAAAAATGGTGATGGATTCAGATTGGAGAATTTATAGGGATGGAAGTAATGAAGGCAACTCACAAGAAGTGAAAACGTGTGTAGTAAATGATGTTAGGTGGGATAATTTGGATTATTTTTTATCTTTCACCGAGCCTATTTATAATATGTTACAAGTCGCTGATACTGATTCTCCAGTTTTACATTTAATATATGATATGTGGGATACAATGATTGAAAATGTGAAAAAGATGGTATTTGAGCATGAAGGGATAGATTTAATTTCTGGGCATTCAGATTTTTTTGATGCTATTCACCAAGTTTTGGAGAGTAGATGGAATAAGAGTAACACTCCTTTGCATTGTATGGCACACTCGTTGGTTCCTAAGTATTATAATGAATCTTGGCTTCAAGATGGTAGTAACGGTGTTTCAAGAATTGCACCACATGAAGATCAAGAAGTTTCTTGATGATGGAAGAGAGGTGATGCAAAAATCAAGTATTGATTTAATAATTTAAATATTAAATATTTAACTCAATTCTCAATTTTCAAACCCTAATTTCATCTTTCTTATCTCTCTACTCTCCATTCTCTCTTCTTCTTTTTTTCACTGTTGAATCACTGTCAGAATCTGGAAACAACGCCTCGCCCACAATGACTGCAGCATGATACCAGGCAACAACCCAACCCATTTGTCATCGGTCCGATGATGACATTACAGATTTAGGCAGCAACAACGCCGTTGTCGCTGTGCATGGCTGCGCCATCTGCAATTGATGGGCGTAGTTGAGCCATTTGTAACAAGCAACCATTGCACGCAGCTTCGCCTCATTGCTGACAGCGCAGCTGTACGTAGCCATGACTTCGAGGCTGTGCTATAAGGCTTCGACAACAAGAGAGGGAGAGGAGAATAGAGATTGAGAAGAGTGGATCTGGCGACGACTTTTGTTGGTGATGCAGATAGAGGTGTTGAAGGTGATGGTGACGGTCGAAGATGATGATGGTGGTGTAGTCGATCTAAGTAGGTTATAAGCAGTAATAGTGAGTTTGACGGGTTGGTGTGATCTGTTCATGGGTGGTGGTGCGATAGTGTTACTATTGTGGCGTTGCAAAAATGGTGGCGACGGCGATGGCGGTGGTCTCCAGCCAACAATTTGATTTTCTGATGGTTGTAGAGTAGTTTTAGGTTTGTTTTGTTGGTGGTAATGATGCTGGCTGTGGGCACGAGGTTGCGGTGGTGATTGGAGGTGTTGACGGTAGTGGTGGCGGTTGATAATGGTGATGGTGATGGTCGACAATGGTAGTGTGGTGCGATAGTGGTGGTAGCGACTGTTGCAAGGAGAAGGTCACAATTGGCCATAGTGTTGGTGGCGGTGATACGTGACCAATTATTTTATCATCTGTGATCAATTACGTAATTGTGACATAAAAATTTGATAATATGTGACTAAAAAATAATTTGTAATCAGTTAATTTGAAAATTTGTGATCGAAAAATGAACCTTGACCTATAATATTTTTTTATTTGTGATCGATAAAATAAACTGTGACTTATAAAAAAATTTATTTTTGACTTCGGAATAATCAGACTTTCAAAATTTTTGAAATAATCTGTGACCGATTAATTTGATGATATGTGGCCAGCAAATAATTCTATGATCTATAATTATGAATTTTTGACCATTAATCATATAATTATGGCTTTTTATATTTAATTAATTAACTAAATATATACATGAATTTTGAATTTTTAAATTATATACTTGATTTTTTAGTTGGTGTAAATAATACACCTGAATTATGAATTTTTCATTTTTTTTAATGAAAATTCCTTCTTTTAGGGGATTTTTTTTTTTTTTTTTTGTTAAGGAAGTACTGCAAAAAAATCATCGCAGCTCTTTCTTTATTTCCCAGAACAAACCCAAACACAGCCTCAAGCTCACGCGTTCATCATGATAGAGCACAGATTTAGCACACACTTATGGAAAGATTTACGAGCACATCTTTCCATAAGTGTGTGCTAAATCTGTGGTCTATCACATCAATGGAGTTTTGGGGTAAAACTCTCTCTCTCTCTCTCTCCCCGATTTCTTTGTTCTGCCTTTTTAGGATTTCAACATATATTATTGTTTACAGCAATATACACTTACCATCACCTTAGATTTTGGGGGGTAAAACTTGTTCATAGAAAACTACCTACTCCGCGATTTTTATTTCCAGGTGTCGAGGTGAAAAGTGGGGAGATTCTGCCCGTTATGTCTTGTGTGGGCATGCTTTTGCGTCTGTCTCAGGTATTTAATTTGTTTAGATTTATGCCTTTTGATTGTTTGCACTTCATTTTCCTTGATCTCATCATCCACTTTTGCTTCTTGTAAAGCAACTGAAATTTCTCTGTTTCCTTGCCCTTTGCTGCTTCAATATCACTCTGCAAGATTATTATTGTTTTAGTTGATGTATAAATGGGCTACATTGAGCTTTATTTCAGTAGTATTTGTATTGTTATCTTTTTGAATTTTTACATTTAAATGTACTATCTCGGTCCCTGTGCAACTTATCATTAGCTAATTAGATCTCTAGATACTTTGGTAATAACTTATTTCGGTTCAATTTATAGCGTTAACGACGTGCTGGTTCCTTAATCCTATTATTGCAATTCATTTACTTTTTTATGTTGAATCAGAATATGCTTTCTTCCGCAGGCTACTCTTGGTAAGCTGAAAGAGGAGAAAGGAAATGAATCTGTTTGCTTGTTTGCAACTATTGATGGAAAGAAGCTAGTCCTTGCAACACTGTATACTACAAATTTGCCTCAGCAACATCTGGGCATGGTTTTTGACAGAGATTTTGAGCTATCGCATGACTGTAAAAATGGAAGCGTTTACTTCTATGGATATAGGATCAATAACCCTATAAGAGAAGAATATCCTTTTTACTTTTTTTTTTTGGTTAAGAAAATGAATTGCTGGATACATTTGATTTTGTTTTTCTTCTTTTCCTTAAATATATCTTTGTTGAGCATTCTTTGCTGTTTCAATTTTATCTGTTCAAGTGTTTGGTTTTTCTTTGTTTTTGTTTTGCATTAATGTATGAAATGTCTCAAGTTTGAATGTGAAATAATGAATATGGAGACCTTTGTTGATACTTGTTTGTATTTTCTTCTTTAATCATATGGATCTGAGAAAATGAAGGAATATCTGAATTTGGTTTCCTTAACCCACTTCATTATTCTATCACGACCAAATCTGGTGATTGCCTATCTCCACATCTCTGTCCTTCAATAGCATTTTCTCCGTCCTCTCTTTCTTGCCTCTTTCTTCACTTCCATATTTTTCTTTTGGTGTTCTTTGTTAAGAAAAGTACTTAAATCTAATGTTAGATGAATCTGAACCTGAATCTGAAGAGACCATCCCGCATACTGTTGCAAGTGATGAGGTGAAACCCAAAGATGATAATTCTCTCTCAACTTCCATTCCTCAGTCTTTTTGCAACATGGATGTTGAAAGGTATGCAAGATTTCATCATTATAAACTCTCTTGTACTGAGGAGTTGTATAGATTCATATATAGTTGTTGGTATTTTAAATCTCATATTTCAAAATGTTGTACGCAGGACGATACTGTCTGAGGAACATTATGCACTGCTTTCTTCAATGTTGCTTTACCCAGCATCGCCCTCTTTCCTCCTTCACGCACAAAGAAAAAACAAAGCTAAAAAGGAATCTAGAAATACCGTCCGCAAAGAAGTATGGGAGGCTATTATCCCATATGTCAAGGCCTCCGAAGATAGGGCAGCAGTGTCTCTGGTGTGCAAAAGCTGGTTTCAAATCGACAAGGATACTCGAGAGCACGTTACTGTAAAGTCAGCTTACGTTGCAAAACCAGAAAGACTTTTCCGGCGTTTCCCAAACCTCCGTTCGTTGAAGATAAAGGGAATGTCGCCGGAAATGAAGCATAATTTTTGGGTGGGCTCGAGGGATAAGATAACGCCGTGGTTCACAGAGATTGTGAAGCAGCCTAAAATCGAGGCAGTTGACGTTAGGAGGATGATAGTATCAGATGGTGATCTAGAGTTACTTGTAACTTCAAATTTGAGGAAGGCTCTTGAAGTGCTCAAGCTCCAAGAATGTGAAGGATTCTCCACCCATGGATTGCTGAATGTCACTCGTCAGTGCAGGTAAAATTAGTAATAAATAGCGTAAACGATTCTGATTACTTGTTCTTACTTCTTTTGGTTGCATGCATCAGTTCATCTTTTCTTGATTGTGGATAGCTGAAATTATCTTCATTTTTGCAAGTTTTTAAGGTTTTCAGTTGCTATAATGAGATCCGGAATTATAAGTCCCACAAAGTATTTTGTTCTTCGTCTTCTATTTTGTGGCATTCTATACTTTATGAGATCTATGTGTTCTTTGAGTAAGTTATTGCCCGAAGATAGCATAGGAATTTTTATGCCCATGTAAAGAAAGAGCTTCATAGATTATATTGGCAGCTTGATTTATATCTTGATAGCTTTTCGGAGTAACATAGGCAACAAGAATGCAAACAGATTGTAACACCAAAATGCCACATTTAAAATGGCAACTGCTCTTCCAATATACAATCTCCTTCTTCCGCCACCATATTCTGTTTCCACCTTAGAAATTTCAGCCCTTAGCCACTCAACGATGGTGAAAATTGTCGTCGAATTGTAAAAGACTTGCACAAAAGCATGAATAGGTAACGAAAAGTGATCCCAAAAGGCAAGCCCTTCCTTGAAAATTTGTGTGGCTATAAGATAAACAGGGGAGCTGCTGCCTTTATACCCTCACAGACTCCCCCAAATATACCTCCAAAATGTATCCTATGAAATTCTCCAATATCAACGAGAAAAGCATGTAAATAATCATTATTTTGTGATTTCTCCGAAAACTGGGGGAAAAATAATAGGATATTTGGCTGAAAAAGCAGTTTCTGGTACCAAATAGACAGATTATTGAGAAGATTACAGAAGCAAAATCCTTGATGCTTACTATGCCACCTGTAGAGAGTAGGATTACTACTGCAAGAGCATTTAGCTATCGAGAAGCGAAGAAACCTTGGCAAGTTCGACGATGTTTTGCGGGGTTTAAAGTTATTGTCTTGTTGATGGCTAATTCTTGACTTTGATCTCTAGGGAGACCTATGTCAATTGATGGACCGAATCCGCCATATATTTTTCTGTATGTGTATTTTTGATCAATTATTGTGAAATTATGGGACTCCTTACAGATGAGGGTTAGAGGGGGAGAGAGAGGGGGAGAGAGAGGTCAAATGTTACTTAAAACACTATTACTTTGCTGCCAAAAAAACGTTGTTACTTATTTTGCCGAATAATGCTGCTCAACCTGGGATAAAATCCCGGGTTTGGAGCCAGGGGTCAAGGTGGCAACCAATGTAAAAATTGCGGGCCCCGTGTGAGCCGACGTGGCAACCCCTCGGCCCAGGATCAATCTAAAACCCGGGCACTGCATCAGGACTGCATTTTGCCACACCACTCGGAACACAAACCAGCTGATATCCCACACTTATTATTACTTTTCGTAACACAGTTGTTCTTCTGACTTAAAGATCATAGTGCATCAGTTATCCAATTCAAGTACTTGAATGAATATTGTCAGAGAATTGGTTATTTGTAATTTCATGATCTTGGATTAGTATCTAATTTTTGTTTGCAAGCAATTTCATGATTTTGGATTAGGATCAAATTCTTAACACCGCTGCAGGGGATTGAGGACCTTATCTCTGGAAAGGAGCAACATAATTGATCACAGTGGAGAATGGCTCCATGAGCTTGCTTTAAACACTTCAACTCTGGAAAATTTGAACTTCTACAAGACTGGGCTTGGCCAAGCTATGCCCAAAGACCTTGAACTCATAAGCAGAAACTGTGCATCTTTAGTCTCAGTGAAGATTACTAATGGCCATCTTAATAATCTTAATGTTTTCTTTGAAGCTGCTACAGCGTTGCAAGAATTTGGTGCGGCATGTTGTCGAGATATTACAATTGAGGAGTTCGAAGAGGTTTTCAGTGAGTTTGTTGAATCGATTGATGAATTAATCAATTTAGATGTACAATTTCCTCACAGCTTAAGCCACTTGAGTCTTATTTCCTTTGGGAGTGCCAGATTGTCGATCCTACTTTTAATTGGTTCCAGATTCAAAAAATTGGATCTCCAGGACGCTCTCCTCGACACCAAAAACCATTGTGACTTATTGGCGGAGTGTCCTAATTTGGAAATTTTAAAGGTAAAACCTGCTGGTCCTAATTTTTTGAGTTCTACAGGTGTTTCATTAGTTTGTTGGATGCATATTTCGTTTATGGTGTGCATTTGACAAAAAATAACTCAATATTCCTATTTGGCCATCAGTCCATTAGGTAAACCACGCTTCCCCTATGGAAAAATAGAATTTTATGACTCAGAATATTAGATACAACGAGTTCATATGAACCCCGTAAAAATAAAAAATAAAATTAGAAATGTGACTGCATTATAGTCTTCTCTAAAAGAAAAAATATTTATCGATGTGATATATTTAGTTGCATAATTCACATTGAGTTCAGATGCAGATTTAAATAATGATGCGTTTGAACCATGAGTTTCTCCTAGTCTTCAAGTTCAATTATGTGATGAAATATAACTCGTGTTTGGTAGCAAGTTATTGGGGTATTGGAATTAATTACAACAATATACGATTCCGTTCAAAAAAGAATTTTGTTTTCAGGAATTATAATACCATACCTACCAATCACTGGGTGTATTAATTGAAGAAAATATTGAACTCTTGACATTTAAGGCAAAACAACTGCCTTGTATTATGCATCTTCCGTGGAATTTCAATGTTGAGTTCAGTAATTGATATGGTTGCATCTTTATGAACAGACAACAGAGGTCATTGGAGACGAAGGATTGGAAGTTGTTGCCTCAATTTGTAAGAAAATGAAAAAGCTAAGGATTTATAAGCACAAAGAAGATCAAGCTGTTGAAGGTGTGATTACAGAACAAGGATTGATTGCTTTGTCAAACGGATGCACTGAACTCGAATATCTGACAATATATATGTCTTCCATCACAAATGAAGCTTTGAAATGTGTGGGCAGAAACATGAAGAAGCTTTGGGATTTTCGGTTAATGTTGTTTGTTGTAAACCCACAACAGAAATTGAGGCAGAGGGTGCTTGACATGGGAGTTCGGTCTTTGTTGAAGGGTTGTCCTGACCTCACTAGGCTTTCTCTGCTCTTTTACACTTATTGGCTGACAGGGAATGGAATTAAATCTATCTGTAAGTATGGAAAAAAAGTGAAAGTGATGCAATTGGGCAACATTGTGAGGTCTGATGAAATGTTGAAATTTTTTGAAAATGACAGCCGAAGCCGCCTTTGCAATCCCATTGGCCTGCAAAAGTTAGAAACATTAGATTTGTGGAACTGTTGTTTCAGTGGTACTGCACTAACAGAGGCTGTAAGGAAGCTAAATTCTCTGAGGTTTTTGTGGATACAAGGAGAAGTTTTTGGAAATATGCTGCCACACTTTGTTGTAGAGACTTTTGAACGTAATAAACGTTATCGTACTTCAACCCACCATCTAGCAAACCGTTCACTTGACGGGTTGTAGTACGGGATCCGCCACTTGTTAACTAACCCACTAGATGGTGAGACACACGTTTTCTGCTGGATATTTTTTCCTTCTACGTTGGTTTGTCATGTTGATCAGCGAAAGGATATGCTTTTTCTTTTTTTTTTTTTTTCATGAAGCAGAACAAATGTCATCTGCTGCTGCAATATTAAGACATCTAGCATTTTATTAGAACATCTTAGTACATGCTGCTTTAGAAACTTGTGATTCGAAATTCCCGTTTGATATACGAGGCATCAATACTTGATTGTTGCATGTCTCTTGCTGAATATTTCATACAAGGTGAGGCCTGTTATCCTTTTAACACGGTAGTATTGATGATATTCAGTTTGTTTACTATTCTTTTTGTTTTTATGCTCATTTAATGCATTTGTTGGTTGAGTTTTGATTGTCAAGTCTTGGGTTTGAAAAGGTTATCCTTAGTTTTGACGTTGGGCTGTGCTTGCTTAGTCACAGCTCCCTCATGTGAGGCGTGGGGCCCCCTCATGTGAGGGGGGCGTTGTACATGTACAGTCTACCGTGGACTGTACAAGCAGTTCAACCCTTCGACATTTAAAGAAGTGATGTAGGAATGTTACTCTTTTGTATTTGGTAATTGTAAGAACTAATTCTGACATAGTATATAAATATATTGTCCAAACGACTGATATACGATGCTACTGCTCACAAAATAAGCCGTCTACTTGAATCAAGCTCAACTTGGTTTTCCGATGTCACATCCAAATTGTTCTGCTAGAAGGTTTGTAGTTCTAATCGTACGTAGAATGGCAGTGCCGTTCCTTCTTTCAAGACTCTTACAGCTCGGCTCCATTCACTACGATGTCCTCTAGAAAAATTGGGGTTGAAGGCTTCACGGAAATGTGGCAAATCAAGTTCCAGTACATTTGTCTAATCAACCGCCTCCATTTCATCCTTTATGCTTACGCAACTGCACAATCTATCTCACAACATTATTGAAGAATAAGGGCTTTGCTACATGTACCCGAGCGTTTACATTGCCCTCACATGGGGGCGGGTCCCATGTATTTATTGTGTGCAGGCCCCACCCCCATGTGAGGGGCGTGTAAACGTTAGGGTACAAATAGCATTTTCCAAAGAATAAAGCTATAAGTACAGAAAACATTTTACATGAATGTACAGGAATTTGAAAAGGCTGAGTTGGCATATAAAAAAGGCAAAAGAAATGGAAATGGAAATGGAAAATAAGAAAAATGTCAACATTTTTAGGCTCAAATGCGAGAACCCATGCCATTTCCCTCAAATAATCCCTGCCACTCTGCCACTCATTTCCCTACATATCCGACCACTGTCAGTCAATTATTTTAAGCTTATTTCGTATGCATCTTTAGTTTATTTTTGAAGACTGAAGATGAAGCCGCGACAGCTAAGAAAAAACCAGTGACTTGACTTCGCACTGGCTTAGAACAAAGGGCCTCAATAACCTGTAGGATGACTCAGAAGCTTGACGATTCAAGGAGACACGGCTGAAACTCATGGCAGCTGAACGAATAGCCATTAATTCAGCTCAAAAGAAAATGTCAATTATGGAGAACTTGCGGGACCAATTAAATTCCAGTTAGGCGTTAAAATTGATGGTTTAAAGGGGAATGTAAGCAGGCAAATCGATTATGTTGACAAATAAGAACTAAATTATATATTAAAAATGAGAGATAATTCTTGATAATTTTTCAACTGGTTTTTGTGTAGTTTTGTTAGATCTTTCCCGATTTTCTGTTTATTCTATTTTTTGTTTTCTTTCCCCTTAGTCACACCATTTATTTTGAATTCCTGTATAATTTCTATGACCTTTTCCTGTACTTATAGCACCACCCATTACTGAAAGTCACTCAATCAGTTTAAAGACAATAATTTTTGTGCTCATATAGCACTACATGCCAACTTTCCCCAGGTCAACTCTTATAATTTCTGTTTGCGTATCAAGAAATTGCATATAATCTTTACATTGCTCGATTCACGCATCAAACTTTTGTTCAGCGGATTTTATTTTTATTTTTTCTTTTTAATGACCCAAGAATTTTTATGATATGTAGGATGCGTGGATTACTAAGATTTGAAAAGTACGTGATAAAATTAAATTTATCTAGCTTAATTAAATTCAGCCCCATGTAAATAATATACCACCGCAACTAGACCGGACAAAGTTAAACAATAGTAGTAAGGGATAAAATAAAATATATTATCTATCTTATTCTGGCTAACGAACCAAACATGTCCTTGATGCATGCTTTTTTTTAAACCATGTTAAATTACTTCTCTTCTTTAATTGTACCAGGTTGAATGCAATTCCATTCCGTTATAACATATTTAGTACGTTGCACTTGAGAGTTCCAAATGCAATAATGAACCTATATTTCCAGGTAAAAAGCACGGAAAGTTCCGTCAAAAGTTTCATTTTAATGACTCAATTTTTTTTTATATATATTTTTTATTTTTGGTTACAATCTCAGAAGTCATTGTTGGAAAATTGGAATAAATTAGTTGGTTTGACCAAATTTTGATCAATTATTTAAGTGGCCCGGTTAGTTGGATAAATGATTTCTTTGGCCAATTATATTCTACTCCATGAATAGAATTGATATTTGTATTTATTTCTCAAAACTAATTAGGGGTGAATGAGAAATTAAAGTCAAAAAATGACCATTTGAAATTGAAATAAATTGAGAATAAAAATTACTGGAAAATTTGAAAGTGTCAATCCCATACAAAAAAACTAAAAGAATAGAAACCACCTTATATAGCTCAAGTTTGGGACTTAGGTTTGGACACCAAAGGACAACATTAGTCTTTGGAGTAGAGAGAACCTACATGTTAATAGGTTGAGTTAAAGACCACACGCACGGGGGACCGATCCGCTTAGCATGGGTGGTGGGCTTAGACCCAATTGGTATGTATATTTGGGAAAATTAGGTCAAATACTCCCTCAAAATGAGAATTTTGAATAGTGCCCTTAAAACTCATTAAAACTTTTAATCACGTGTTTAATAAGTTACTTTCTGGTATAAATTCATCAGATTTTGACCAAATACGTAGATCTCAGTGTAATTTCCATACATTCACCAACAATCGGGTTCCTTTTGGGACGAAATAAGGTCCCACGTGACAGTCTTCCATTGCTTCATAAGGCACTGATAGGGGCCTGGTGGGAATAACCTCAACGGCTCAACATCTCTTTGACAATAGCTTGGAGGCTGATCAAGTTTTTTATGTCGAATTCGTCGACCCATCACTCTTTACCTGCTTTAATATCAATTTTTTCTTGGGCTCGCTTCATTATTTCCCTGTTGTTTACTAGTAGAGATAAGATCCATGTTAGGTGAACAAATGTGGTATCAGATCCTGCTAAGATGATGTTCTGCACAAAGGAACAATGGTTAAAATAGATAGGTTTATGGAGGAACATTTATTTATTTATTTATTTTTACGATAGGGGAATCCGTAACTGCTATCTTTTGGGTGTGCACTAGATAAACTCTCTGACTGATGCAATAGCCTACAAACCATGTTAGTTAGATAAATTGCACTAAACAAACCTAGTGCAACAAGCTCGACCAAAAAAGTGTTGGTAGGGAAAATCGAATTCCTGACCAAAGGCCTCCGCGCTCATCTATTCCACCAACTTGATCACCCCGTGAAGGGCTTATGGAGGAACTTGATCTACCCATACATAGCCAATGGCTTAAATCATAGCAAGACTTGAGAGACTTCAAATCTATTGGACTCATATATTTATGCGTTGATGGAAGTAAAAAATGCAAGGAATCATGATCTACTTTCCTTGTTTGCCAATCTTAAATATCAAAAGCCCTTTTGGTTTTTAGTGTACTGTAGCTGCATTCTTAGTCCATGTTAGAGGAGTTGTAAACTGTAGATAAAACTGGAAGAGCAAACATTGTAGGTAGAGAATTTCGTCACTTTTTTAGTGTTTGTCATTTTTTTTAAAAATTTTCTGTCACTTTTTCTCAATGTAGCAAATTTTTTTTTTTTAATTTTTCTCACTTTTTTGAGTTTGTCACTTTTTTGAATGTTGTCACTTCTTGAGTGTTAATCACTTTTTTTTAAAACCCTGTCGCTTTTTTGAATTTTTGTTACTTTTTTTGGTATTTGTTATTTTTTGTTTGAATATCTCACTTTTTTTAATATATGACACATTATTTATAAAAAAGTGACACTGTGTAATTTTTTGTTCTAAAAATTTTTTCATATGATTTTTCAAAACATCCATAATTTTAAGGATATTTTTGTAAGTTGCCATACATAATTTTGGTAAAATAATATTTTAATTATATTATTTATTTTTTCTCCCCTGAATTTTCTGTGTGCGACATGTGGCTTCTTATAGAGACTGGCGGTTGCTGACAATTTTAATCGTCTATCCAAACGAGTTGTGTCTGTTTCAGGCACAACTTTTCGATCGTTGTGTCTTTGGGTACAACCTTTCAACTTCTATAAATAGACCCTCAGATCCCCAATTTTGTTCATTCCAAAATTTCTTCTGATTTCCTCTCTTGCAAAATACTGTCTTTCCGTCCTGTAGTATTCCATATTTTGCATTTTAGTCCAAAATAATAATTTCGTACATTTTAGTCCTCTGATTTTCGAGAGATCAAAATATTAGTAGGTTCATCAAGTCTTGTAATTTGAAATGCTAATATTACAAGTCGAGATCGTTATATCTTGGGAGAGGAGTGCCAGGAGACCGTCAGCACCAATGCGGGGCATTATCATCTTAAAGAGAAAGAGTTGAACTCTTGCCTTGACCATTATCATTCTAATTTTATTACGCTCATTTTGTCAGTTGAAATTCTACCCAACTATTTATTTATATAAATTATTGCACGACATTCTCGAATTTTATTCAACAGTCTTGAGACAATAATTCTATTTACGTGCTAATTTATATTCTAAAATTTTGTTAGACTATGATAAGTAACAACACATCAGTCCTACCCTTAATAATGCTCATGATAGTAGTGGATTTTAAAATATGGCAACAGAAAATGCTGTGTTTATCTTATAACTCTGAATTTGGCAAAATTCTTGAGTGAAGATGCTCCAACTGTTGAGGAGAAAGAAATAGATTTTCAAAAAACGAGCGGCATTCGATGCATTGTCCTAGTGGCTTACTGTGCATAAACTATATCCTCAATTGCCTTGACAACACATTATACAACGTATATAGTTCGGTTGAGACATCTAAATTACTGTGGGAATTATTGGAAAAGAAGTACAAAACGGAAAATGCCGGATTGAAGAAATTCATTGTAGGCAAATTCTTAGATTTCAAAATGATAGATTCTAAAATAGTAATGAATCAAGTCCAAGAGTTACAAATAATCTTGCATGAGATACATGCAGAGGTATGAAGATCAGTAAGTCATTTACAGTTGCTATGATTATTGAGAAATTACCTCAAATATGGAAAGATTTCAAGAACTACCTGAAAACATAAATGTAAGGAAATGAGACTTGAAGATCTGATTGTAAGATTAAGAATTGAGGAAGATAATTGAAATTCTGAAAAGAAATCTAGAAAGCTGCATATAAAGGCTAAACTCAATTTGCTGGAGCCAAATACTAGCAAGAAAAGAAAACACTTGGGTAATGGCAAGCAAAAAGGCAAAGCCAAGAAATTTAAAGGAGATTGTTATAACTGCAGCAAGCCTGATCACATTGTAAAGGATTGTCGACAGAAAAAGAAAACAAAAAAGACCAAGTACACTTGATCGAGGAAGACAAGTTGTCTAACGATGTGTCTGAACTAATGCTCTCAGTTGTTGTATTTGAAGCAAACATGGTGAACAATCCAAGAGAATTATTCGTAGGCACTGGCGCTACTTGATATGTTTGTACTGATAAGGAGATATTTTCATCTTACACTCCTATCAATGGACGAAAATTATTCATGGACAACTCGACATCATAAAATATTGGTGGCTAACCACATTCTGAATAAATTACTACACAAAAGAAAGAACAAAACTTCTCACGAGTTATGGAAAGCTCGTAAACCATCGTACAAATACTTGAAAATGTGAGGGTGTTTGGTTAAGGTAAAAGTACCAAAGCCTAAACAAGTTAAAATAGGGCTAAAAAGATCGATTGCGTATTCATTGGATATGCTAATAACAATAGTGCTTATCGGTTCCTTATACATTAGTCCGACATTCCAGATATACATGAAAATACTAATATTGAAACTCGGAATGATATATTTTTTGAGGACATTTTTCCTTGTAAGGATAGGAAAGAGATAAGTTCGCAAAAACGAACTTATGATACTGCAATTGGTAATTATCAAAGTGATGAAGAGCCAAGACATAGTAAAATGACCAAAACAGCTACATCCTTTGGTCTAAATTTTTTGACTTATTTGTTAGAAAATGAACCTAGGACGTTCAATAAAGCAATGTCAAGTCCAAAAGCTCCATTCTGGAAAGAGGCTATCAATAGTAAAATTGATTCGATTATGCAGAATCATCCATGAGAGTTGGTAGAACTCCCACTTGGTAACAAACCGTTAGGTTGTAAATGGATTTTCAAAAGAAAATTAAAGACTGATGGATCAATTGATAAATATAAGATCAAATTGGTAGCTAAAGGGTTCAAACAAAAGGAAGGTCTTGATTTTTTCGATACATACTCTTTGGTTACAAGAATAACTTCTATTAGAGTATTAATTGCAATCGCAGTATTGCATAATATAAAGATCCATCAGATGAACGTTAAAACAACTTTCTTAGATGGAGAGCTAGAAGAAGAAATTTACATGGAACAATCTGAGGGGTTCATTGTTCCTAGACAAGAGAAAAAGGTACGTAGACTCGTTAAGTTGCTATACAGACTAAAGCAAGCGCCAAAATAATGACATGCAAAATTAGATAAAATTATGTTGTAAATAACTTTAAGATTAATGAATGTGATAAATGTGTTTATATTAAAAACAAACCCAGTGAATATGTAATTGTATGATTATATGTTGATGGCATGCTAATAATGGATAGTAACTGATAAGTGTATTTTATACACTTATTTGGGACTCTAAAATAGCGATATTTGATAGTCTTTTGACAAAATACATTCTAAATTGTTATATTTTATGTTTAATAGGTGAAACTCTACGAATAAAAAGGAATGGAAGGAAAGAAGCAAGAAGGGCGGAAATAGCAAAATCCAAAATATATGGATTAAATTGGCCTTTGGATGCAATTTTTGGGAATCAAAGTAACTGTAAAAATGGAAGGACTGATTTGCTTCGCTTTGAAGATTGAGTACTTGGAGAGAAATAATTGATTAATGGGCCTCAATTGGACATGCCTTGGAATTCAACTTTAATACTTAATTGGACTTCCAATTGGGTTACAACTAAAAGAGCTGCATGGGGCTGAATTTGGGTTTCTTTTTGGTCAAGTTGGTTGGCTAATTTCAAGTATATATACATGCACTTACCAAAAGAACTGGGAGAAAAAAAACCTAGAGAAGACAGACGGCTGGAAGGAAGGAAAAAAAAAAAAAAAAAAAAAAAGACTGTCGACGGGTGGAAATTACTCATACAGTCACATGAATTGCCGGCTGCTCGGGATAGATTATACACGCATCAATAATGGCTAGTGGGGGAGACAAAAACCATATGAAACGGGGCTGCCTTCTGATGGAAGAAACTATCCTCATGCATTAGAAAAGAGAGGAAACTGAGGGAGGAGATTATAAGGGCTGAAATAGAATATATATCTCACGTAATTTAGCGGCAATTGGAGGAGCTTTGGGAGACAAGATTATGTACATATATATACAGAAAACCAAGGCAATAGGGGGAGCAACCTGGGAAATCCGGTCGATATATTTGGGAGGAGAGATTCTGCCATTAAATATATATAAACACATTAAAAAGGGCCACCAGCTGCTTGGGAAATTGTTGAGGGAAACATAGCAGAAATGGGGCGGATTTTCACATACAAACAAATTGGAAGCTACCATATTTTATATATATTCCACACCCACAATCTCACAGATTAACCAACAAATAAAAGGGCTGCTGGAATTGCATGGCTTGATACTTGGAAATAAAAAGGTGTGTCGGCAGAAAAAAAAGACGACTACCTCGGAGAAATCAACAAACGCGCAAAAGTAGAGCAAATTTGTGGAATTAATCATGTTTCGTCAATTTCTCGGTGATTTCTTTCCTCTTTTATATGTTTAATTCCAACATTATGCTAGGCTAAATTGTTTTATTTATTGGATGATCACAAAATTGTTTAATTTTTAGTTTTAATTCGAAACCTATGTTCTTATGTTAACTATTGCATTGTGATTCCATTAATATGCTTATTTACATTGTTTTAATGTTTGCGTACCATTAGAATAATTGTTGCTTTTTCGTAGTGTTGGAAAGCTCACGATTGGTAGAACACTATAATTGGGACATACGGACAATAAATATTAGGAATAATATTTGTGGTTGGTGCGATCTTATGTGATAATCCTAAATGTCAATGCATGGTTGTCATATGAAGTCGGACTAGGAATATGATCGTCTCGTGGTAATCATAGGTTTATTATATTTTGGAAAAGAATAATAAATAATAATGGAATTGTCGATCGTCGCAATTGCATAAATTGAGATAATTATTATTGGTAGAGAATTAGAACTAAAAATTGATCAAGGGCGTCAGAAATCCAATACGTTTACACATTTGAATTTTTTTAAACCAATTTGAATTATTTTCACAAGTTTTAGTTATAAAAATTATTTAGTTATTTTTTTCGATCGTCTTTTAGTTACAAACACGAATTTAAATATATCAAATATACTAAAATTGATCATTATTCTTTGTGGGACGATAAATCTCTCTCATCACGATTATTACTTGTACAACGAACCAGTACGCTTGCGGGATTTTGACGAACAAGTTTTTGGCGCCGTTGCCAGGGAATAACAGCGTTAATTTTAGTTATTAGATATTTTAGATTCGTTTTCATTTTTACTTTTATTGTTTTTATTTTCATTTAATTTTTTATTTGTTTTTAGGCTACCATTACACTTTTTAGGCAACTTTAGTTTATGCAAAATCCCAACGAGCCAGATCTCTTTCCAATAGACCACGAAATTGAAAGAACATTTAGAAATCGCAGAAGAGTTCGACGTCAAGCAAGGAGAATGGCTGATAACCAAAATCAACCACAAAATCTGGTTCAACTTCATGAGCCAGCACTGTAGCCAAATCAACCGAGAGCTAACCAGAACGAAGCTCCTATTTTAGTTGGAGATTACATCAATCCGATTCCCGCACCAGTACAACCTGCTGTGGTATATCCTCCCTTCGGACAACCTAACTTTCACCTCAGACCAGATGTCATCAATTTGTTTCAAAATCACCAAGACATCAGGTTCTTTGGAAAAGCCACGGAAAATCCTCATGAGCATATTTTTGCTTTTCTCATGTTATGTGAAGTGATCAGTCACAAAAGGATATCGGCAGATGCATTCCGAATGAGATTATTCCCTCACACCTTGAAGGACACTGCTAGAGAATGGTTTCTTTGTTTACCACCAGAGAGCATTCAGTAATGGAACGATATGGTTCAAAATTTCACAATGAAATTCTTTCCACCTTCTCGAATTCACCAAATTAGGAATGACGTTCACACCTTCAAGCAGAAAGATTTAGAGAGCTATCCTGAGGCATGGGAGAGGTTCAAGAATTTTTTCAGAAAATACCCCAACCTTGACATTCCCAAGCAGGCTCAGCAATATCTTTTCTACTACGGTTTAAAACAAGAGTTCAGAAATATGATAGATGCTTCAGCAGGAGGATCGGTTATAAAACTTGATGTTGATGAGGCATATGACCTATATGAAAAAATAGCTGAAAACCAATCGATGTGGCCAACCGATAGGGAAGCTCCAAGGAAAACATCAGGGTTACACAATGTAGACGCAGTGACAGCACTAGCCGATCAAATGGAAGTTCTTACAATGAAAATGGACAATCTATCTAAGTCGGTCAACATGGTACACCAGTCGCCACCTGTTTGCGAAGGCTGTGGAGCGGATCATGCTAGCACACGCTGTCCTTTGGCGTCTACACGACAAGAACAGGGAGGAAGCAATCAGAATAAACCACCAGGGTTCCAACAGCAACAACAGCAAGGGAGAAGGCCATCGTTGGAAGATTTGCTGGCTCAATACATTCTAAAACTGAGACCAACTTTCAAAACCAACAAACCTCGATCAAGAATTTGGAACAACAGCTTGGACAAATTGCAGTCGCACTATCAGGTAGAGCTCAAGGGATATTGCCTAGTAATACTGAAACAAATCCTAAGGATCAAGTCAAAGCAATCCTTACATGTAGTGGCGTCCAGTTACTAGAAATACATGTAAAGAGGCCAGCAACTGTCATAGAGAAGGCACCTATCATAGGCGAGGAGCAAGTAGATAAATTAGACAAAGCCTCAGAGGAAAATCAAGCTGAATCATCAGATAGTCCACAGGTGAAGGTAACTGCTCCTGTCAAAGCATATGTTCTTTCAATCCCATTTCCACAGAGATTGCAAAAACATAAGCTCGACAAGCAATTCCAGAAATTTTTGGATGTGTTCAAGAAGCTGCATATTAACATACCATTTGCTGAAGCTTTAGCCAAAATGCCCAGCTATGCCAAGTTCATGAAAGATATTCTATCAAATAAGAGAAATCAGGAAGACAATGAAACAGTCATGCTTACTGAGGAGTGTAGCACAATTCTCCAACGCAAATTACCACCGAAACTAAAAAACCCAGGGAGTTTTACTATTCCTTGTCACATTGGTAATCTGTATATAGATAAGGCATTGTGTGATCTAGGAGCTAGCATTAATTTAATGCCTTTATCTCTTTTCCGGAAACTAGGTTTGGGGGAAGCAAAACCGACAACAATTTCACTATAGTTGGCTGACAGGTCGATCAAACACCCTCATGGTATTTGTGAAGATATTTTGGTGAAAGTTGACAAATTTATCTTCCCAGCGGACTTCATTATTCTGGATATGGAAGAAGATATAGACGTCCTCCTCATATTGGGTCGTCCATTCTTGGCCACGGGAAGAGGTCTGATAGATGTGCAAAAGGGTCAGTTGATATTGAGGTTAAATGAAGAAGAACTGACAATCAACGTGTTTTGGGCTTTCAGATTTCAGAGCGAACCGGATTCTTGCATATAGATTGATATAATAAAAGAAGCGGTGTCAAAGGCATTCAAACTAGATCACCCTCAGGATCTGCTTGAGGCTTGTTTATTGCATTCGCAAGATTTACCATCAGAAAAGGAGGAAATAAAAGAATGTGCATGGTGTTTGGCAGCCATACTAGCATTCTTTAAGCAACCACGACTGTAACTCGGTGAAAGACCCACAACACCTTTACCATCTATACAACAACCTCCAACTCTTGAACTCTAACAACTGCCAACTCATCTTCGTTATGCATGCTTGGGGAAAAGAATTCACTTCCAGTAATCATCTCAAACAATCTTACAGAAGTGGAGGAAGATCAATTGTTGAGGGTGCTTCGAGAGCATAAGACAGCAATAGGATGGACAATATCGGATATAGAAGGGATCAGCCCTTCGCTTTGCATGCATAAAATACTGATGGAAGATGATTACAAAGCTTCAATTGAGCATCAACGCAGATTAAATCCGACTATGCAGGAAGTGGTAAGGAAAGAGATATTAAAGCTTCTGGATGCAGAGATCATCTATCCCATATCAGACAGTCATTGGGTAGTCTAGTACAAGTCGTACTGGAAAAGGGAGGGATCACAGTGGTTCCAAATGAAAACAATAAGCTCATCCCGACACGCACAGTCACGGGTTGGAGAGTTTGCATTGATTATCGCAAACTCAACAACGCCACAAGGAAGGATCACTTTCCCCTTCCTTTCATTGATCAGAGGCTGGAGAGACTTGCTGGACATGCGTACTATTGCTTCCTGGATGGTTATTCGGGGTACAACCAAATTCCTATAGCACTAGATGACCAAGAGAAGACGACCTTTACATGCCCTTATGGCACTTTTGCTTATAAAAGGATGTCATTCGGCCTTTGCAATGCTCCAGCCACCTTTCAACGTTGTATGATGTCTATTTTCTCAGACATGGTGGGACATATTATTGAGGTGTTTATGGATGATTTCTCAGTGTTTGGAAAATCATTCAAGGAATGCCTTGAACATTTGGAAAAAGTGTTACAGCGGTGTGAAGACACAAACCTTGTATTAAATTGGGAAAAATGTCATTTCATGGTTAGGAAGGGATTGTGTTAGGACATTTAATTTCAGCACGGGGTATTGAGGTTGATAGAGCTAAGATACAAGTCATCGAAAAACTACCACCGCCAGTAACAGTAAAAGGAGTTAGAAGTTTTCTGGGTCACGCTAGGTTCTATCGTCACTTCATCAAAGATTTTTCCAAAATCTCGAAGCCATTATGCAATTTATTAGAAAAAGGGACTCCATTTCACTTCTCTGAGGAGTGCTTAACAGCTTTCAACGCCTTAAAAGAAAAATTGGTTTCTGCCCCAGTATTGGCTTCTCCAGATTGGAATTATCTGTTCGAGCTTATGTGTGATGCCAGTGATCTCGCAGTGGGCGCAGTGTTAGGTCAACGAAAGGAGAAAAGTTCTCATGTGATTCACTATGCCAGTAAGACTTTGGATGAGGCTCAAATGAATTATGCGACTACAGAGAAAGAGCTGTTGGCAATAGTGTTCGCCGTTGACAAACTCAGATCATACTTGATTGGGTCGAAAGTGATTGTCTATACAGATTATTCAACATTAAAATATCTAATGAGCAAGAAGGATGCAAAGCCGAGACTTATTCGTTGGATACTCCTATTGAAAGAGTTTGATTTGAAAATTAGAGATAAAAAGGAGAGTGAGAATGTTGTGGCAGATCACCTCTCACGCCTTGAATCACGAGTCAAATCCTACATTGGAGATCAATGAAGTCTTTCCTGATGAAATACTCTTTCAGATTATCACTACACCATGGTACGCCGATTATGTCAATTATCTGGCCCGCTCCATCATCCCACCAGACTACTCGAGTCATCAAAAGAAGAAATTCTTCAGTGACCTAAAACACTACTTTTGGGATGATCCAATTCTTTACAGAAGGGGTCCAGATCAGATCATGCGCCGTTGTGTGCCAGAGGTGGAGCAGCATCAGGTATTAGAGTCATGTCACTTTACACAGTATGGGGGCCACTTCACAACAACTAAGACAGCAGCAAAGGTACTGCAATCGGGTTTTTATTGGCCTACGTTGTTCAAGGACGTCCATTATATGGTAAAACATTGTGATAAGTGCCAAAGGACTGGAAATATCTCAAGGAGGAACAAGATGCCTTTGAACAGTATCTTGGAGGTTGAAATATTCGATGTTTGGGGCATTGACTTCATGGGACCATTTTCTCCATCCTATGGTCAACAATATATATTAGTGGTAGTGGACTACGTGTCTAAGTGGGTTGAAGCTATAGCTTAACCAACTAATGACGGTCGAGTGGTAACTCAATTCCTGAAGAAGAAAATTTTCTCGAGATATGGTACCCCAAGGGCGATTATTAGTGATGGTGGAAAGCATTTTTGTAACCGCCTATTTGCTTTGCCGTTGGCCAAATATGGAGTGAAACATCGTGTCTCAACTCCATACCATCCTCAAACTAGTGGGCAAGTGAAAATCTCCAACAGGGAGTTAAAGAAGATTCTTGAAGCCACGGTCAACGCATCACGTAAGGATTGGGCTAAGAAATTGGATGATGCACTTTGGGCGTACAGAACAGCATTCAAGACTCCAATTGGCATGTCTCCATATCGACTGGTATTTGAAAAGGCTTGTCATCTGCCGGTTGAGTTAGAGCATAAAGCATACTGGGCGACACACTTGCTCAATTTCAATATGAGAGCAGCAGGAGAAAAGATGGTTCTACAACTTCATGAGCTAGATGAGTTTCGTTTGGATTCGTATGAGAATGCAAAGATTTACAAGGAAAAGACCAAGAAATGGCACGACAGGCATATAAGGGAGAAGGATTTTGAGGTTGGTCAACAAGTATTGATGTTCAATTCACGCCTCAAGCTTTTTCTGGGAAAGCTAAAGTCCAGGTGGTCGGGTCCATTCACAGTAGTAGCTGTGTTTCCATATGGTGCTGTGGAAGTGGTGTCTCAAGATCAACAAAGGAGGTTCAAAGTAAATGGACAACGGTTGAAAGCTTATTGGAGAGGTGACCACTCCACTGAAAAACAACTGTACCACTTGATAATGTAGAGTAGCCAGGACAACAAAGTCTAGCTAAAGACTATAAATTAAGCGCTTATCGGGAGGCAACCCAAATTTTAAACCTTTTATTTTATTTTGTTTTTCTCATCGCATTGCATATAGATTTCTTTTAATTATTAGTTGCATTAGATTTAGGCACGTTTAATTTATGTGGTGTCATCATCCAATCATGCTTTCACCGAGGCCCTTAAATATAATGTTGGTTATTTCGAGTGTTTGGGCTGAGTAACACATGTTTTGGATTATTTGATCCCTATTGTTTGATTTGATTGCCATATGCAGGCACATGACGTCGTGGAACACTCAAACCAACATCGACCAAGGAGAAAGCATGATAAGAAAGATTATCTGGCCGTCACCTACAGTATCTTCCACGTTCAATAGAAAAATTCGGGGAGTACCTTCCTCATTTTCTTCCCCGTCCCCTTATATTCTTAATCATGTTTTAAGACATTGAGGACAATGTCGAACTTAAGTTTGGGGGTGGGAAACACTTTGTGTTTTTTTGTTTTCGTATGTTTTCGTGCGTTGTTTACATATGTTACAAAAAAAAACATTTAAAAAAAATCATTAAATTTTCATTTATTTTTACTTATTTTTGATTGTGTGCTTGTGTGGATTAGACGGTTTGGCTGACAATGATGATTAAATTTGAGATTTGGCGTTGATTTATGAACTGTGGATAGGAAGCATGCTAGATTGATTGAAACTTGAACTTGCAAAACTTGATATTATACATGCACTAGAACTGAGTTTGACATTATGATGAAGTAAGTTGATTCATGCACTTGATAGATTGAATTAGTTGGACATAGATGCTTTACCAAAACCATACTAACCAATTATCCTTAGACCAACTTTAGTACAATTTGGAAAGATCTTACTGTTGTAGGAAAATACGGATATGAATGTGGATTCCTTGTGTGAAAATTTTGTGTGGATTGTCTGAGATTAATAGGATAAAATTGGGTGAAAATCTTAAATTGGAGGTCGATTTACTTGAATAGGTGTGTGATAAGGGGCATTGCACTAATCAAGGCATATATTTTGAAATTTAATTTGAGCTTTTATGACTCGAGCAATTAAGCCCGCAAGGGTATCTTAAAACCTAGTGCCCTAAAGTTATCTGACTTGGGAGTCATCGGCCTAAAACTCGTTACAGGGGTCATTTAAAAGGCAATCAGAGATAAAATTGCTCTAAAAAAATTGCTCTCTTCGAAGCCTTTTTGACTCGGGTAATTAAGCCTGTAAGGGTATTTGAAAACCTGGTGCCCTAAAGTCATCTGATTTGGGAGTCATCGGCCTAAAGTCTGCTACATGAGTTATCTAGAAAGCTTAAGGGAGAGTGCCAAAAAAAAAAAAAAAAAGAGAGAGAGAGAGCACTAAATGCCTTGTAAGTCCCAACACTTGTTTGAGAGAACTTGACTTTCAATAAAGGATAATTAACCTAATTGAATCTTGGCAGTCGAAGCAATCAAATAATTTGAGGATCCTTATTCATTGATGTGTTAACTTACAACTAGTGACATCCACCTGAATTGGAGAGGTGAGGATAATGATAAAAATTCAATCTTAGATCACACACTGGGAAAAGAGGGTAAAAAGAATATGTTTTGGGGTGTGTGAATCTTATGAGAGATGAAAAGATATATTTGACCATAGAGGGTCGGGAATGGGAACAACTTGAAAATTCATTAATGTCTACTTAGTTCTTCACACACACATGTCGGTTTTGCATTGAAAAAGTGGATATTAGTTTGGTATTGTCGCTTTGAAGCAGTATGTAGATCTAATGCCGTGATTTCAAGTCCTGAGGTAAAAAAAAAAGGCTAATTGGTCTAACTAAATATTTTTGTATGTTTATTGTTATTTATGTAAT